GGCCGAAGGGCTGGAGGAGGGGGCCACAGCCGCGGACTTTCTCCCTCCCCCTCGTGCGTCGGCGGGATTGTTGGGGCGCTGGGTCCCGGCCCCCGGATTGTGATGTTTCAGGTGGCGGTGGGCCGGGGGACGCAGCCCGGGCCCCAGGACCTGGTCCCCAGGTCTGGTCCTGCCCCCAGCACCTCGCTCCCGTCGCGGTATGGACCCCGCCCCCCCATCCGCGGGTCCCCTAGGACCCCGTGGAAAGCAGCTCTTCGCGGAGGGACAGTGCCCAAGCCCTGCCCTGACCCCTGGAGGCCTGGGACACTGGCAGTGGCCTGGGTGGGGGCAAACTCAAGTGGTTGGAGATGGGTTGGGGGCTCCTAAGTGGGGGCCTCGTGGAGAAGGAATGGCCTTTTTCCTTGTTCTGGATGGTGGAAGCCATTTCCGGCCCCAGTTGTGACCCCAGGTTCTGAGAGGGGTAAGAAACAGCCCAACTCCCAGGAGCTGCGGTACCTCCCTCACCTCCGATGTCCTCTGACAGGAAAATGCAAGGATAGGCCTTTCGGCCCCTCCCTTCTGTTAACTCTTGAGAAGTCCCGGGTTTTATCTTCTTTGGGGCCCACAACTCCTGTGTCTCTGGAAAGAGGGAGGCCCGGAGACGTGGAAGTTACCCAAGGCAGAGAAGTGACCTAGGAGCAGGAGGTGCCAGCCACGTGTTCTGAGCTCAGGGCTCTGTCCCTTTCTAGAAAATGGCTTTCAATATGGCTCCTCCACAGGGTAAAAGTGGTCAGGGTGTGCTGAGCTAGCTGGTCACCCAGGAGTGAGGTTACCCTAGGGGAGGAGGGGGTGGGAATCACCACAGGAGCTCCGGGAAGGGGTAGCCAACTTGGGGGAGGACCTGGGGTGGAGGCAGAGGTCAGCACGGGACTGACCTCAGGAGGAGCAGAACCCCCGGGGCCAGGGCAGGAGCCGAGGCGTGGTGGGATCTGTCCAGTCACTGTCTTGGTTCTTAAAAGCATGGTCCTGTCACCCTCCAGGAGCAGGGCTGCCTCTTCCTCCTGCAGCCAGGCATCATCCTTAATTTGCCCCATCTGCTAGCCACCTCCCTGTTTTTAGACTCCAGTCTATTTTCTGTAATTGCTGTGGGCCAAAGTTGCACAGAAAATCATTCTCTTCACGAAGCTAAGAGCAGAGACAGCTTCCTGTCCATCAGGAAGTGGGAGGCAGAGAGCCTGGCTGAGACCTTGTGCTGTGGGCTTGAGCCACTGGACAGGCCACTCTGTGTGACACCATGATGACTGACAGAGCCTCCTGGGGTGGAGGCCACATCGCACAGGCAGTGGCAGCTCCTGGGCTGGGAGGATGACCATCGCCACTGATTGAGCACCAAGTGTGTGCCAGGTGCGGTCTGGAAAGAATTTCAGGTGGTTTTCAGAGGAGCATGGAGGCCAGCCCTGATCACGAGGGTGGACCCCAACATGGATTCACTGAACTCTGGGGCACAGAGGCTCCCATCAGCCCTGGCTCCCACTTGATTCAGTAACAGCTGCTGCAGGTCCTGGCCACGCAGTGCTACAGTTTGGATGTGTTTAGACCCCAAGCGTTCACGTATTGGAAGTTGGGTCCCCCAAGTGGCAACTGGGGAGACTGTGGGACCCCTGAAAGGTGTTTGGGACATCTTGGGTCTGCTGGGGATGTTCCCCTTGGAAGAGAGTAAAGTCGTTTTCAGAGGTCTCTGGTTGTCCTTGGAAGAGTGGATTGGTATATAAAGATCAAACCTCACTGCTTCTGCTTTCTGGGTTCCTGGCTCCCACGAGATGTGTCTCATCCCACGTGTCCCCACTAGGATGCCAGCCACTGTGAATGTAGTGTGGCCAGGGGGCCTTTGCCAGAGCTGGTGCTGTGCTGTTTGGACTTTAAACCTCAAAAACTGTGAGCTAAATAAGCCTCTTTTCTTTACAAGTTACCCAGCTTCTGATGCTTACTTATAGTAACAGAAAGTAGACTAATACATCAGGTCACCTCCAGGTTTTTGCTTGATGTGTTCCCCTTGAATGCTATGCCCTGATTCCTCCTCTCACCTTTGCCTAGTTTATTCCTTCTCTATCACAACCACCTCAGGAGAACTTCTCAGACACCCCGGGCCAGCCGAATGCCTCCCGGTACCACTTCCATGGTGTTAGATACAATCTCACCCTGGGGCCCCGTGTCCGCATTGCACATTGTGCATACTTGATGGTTCCTCCATAAACGGAGAAGGCTGTGAAAACAAGGCTGTGTCTTTCACACGTCTCCATTTGTGTACTTGGTGTACTAGCCTGGCACATAGACGCCTCCATGATGAACAAATGCATGAATGAATGACTCTAATTCTAGGCCTGAACTTAGGAAGTGGGGGCCAAATGAGCACCAGTTGATCCTCATGTCCTAGGGCCAAGTAAACTGGGAAGTGGTCAAGCCATGTTTGCAGTGGGAAGGCAAATGCCAACCCCCATGTCCCCTTCCTGGTGTGCACAGCCTGCGAGGGAGGGGTGTCTGACTCCAAGGGACTCGGGAATTTGGCCTCTTTGTGGACTAACAGTGCTCTTCTTTTACGTTTTTTTGGGGAAGGAAAAGTACGCTGCCCGAATCCTTGGCTTCATGGCGGTTTCCAGACACCATGCTTACAAAGTTGCTGGGTTCTTCTAGAATCCTTGACCTTGTTTAAATCTGATTTCGGCTGAGGGAGGGACTTGGAGTCAGAGACAGGACGGAACCTCTTTGAAACTCCTGGCCCCAGGGCTCTTCTGCCTTTGTGTACAGGACTGAGTTTGGGCAGGAAGCCCGGATAGAGGTTTACATCTCTGCCCCCAGACCACTGTAGGAACTAATAGAAACTACAGAAGCGAACCCCAGAGTTCCCTCCCGGTGTCTGTCTGGACAGAAGTGTGATGGGCTGAGACAGAGGCGTTGCCTCTCCACGCAGCCGTAACCCCAAGGCCAGGCAGGCAGGGGTCAGATCTGCCAAGTCAGCTGTCCAGGATGGGAGCGTAAGGCCACCTGGCTTTGCCCTGAAGTTCTCACTACCGACTCTGCACCCAGACTGGTGCTTAGCTGTGGAATTAGTCATATTAGGCACGTGTAGGTGACATTTTTCAAGTATTATTTCATTAAAATAATAACTCATCACCATGTAAACATCTTTAGGAATTTCAAATGATGCCCAATTAAGAAATTGTAATGGGGGGCCAGGGATTTAACTCCATGGCACCACACCTGCCTTGCAAGTGCAAGGTCCTCAGTTCAATCCCCAGTACCGAAAAAAAAAAAGAAGTTATAATGGGGGCCAGTATGGTATGCACACCTGATATCCTAGCACTTGGGAGGCAGGAGGATTGTGCTGAGTTCAAGGCCAGCCTGGGCTACATAGTGAGTTCATAGCTAGCCTGAACTACATAGTGAGACCCTGTCTAAAAAAGGTTATATTGGATCCTAGCTAGGTTGACCAATAATCATTCTTCAAGAACATCTGGGTAGAGCACTCTACATTATGATGTCACTAGGCTGCACTATGACATAAAGACTCCTCATTTATTCATTCAGCAAACATCAGTTGACTATCCATTCATGGCCTGACTATGCTCCAGTGTGGCCTGGTTCCCAACAGGACTGGAACAGGGCTCTACCATTGTCCTTTAGTCCTGGTGTGGAAAGGTTTGGGCAACATGAGGCCGGCTGTCGGGAGCTGTGCAGGGCTCAGTGACAGGAGAGTGGTACAATGCAGCCTGTACCTGTCAGCCCGGAAGTGCAGGAGCCAGGCAGGCTAAGGAATTCTGCAGCACTCTGCACACCTCCGCTTCCAGTACACACTTCCATGTGCCACCCACTCACCTTTCTCTTACTGTTACAGATACCTGAGATACTCAGCTTAGAGAGAAGGAAAGCTTATTTTGGTGCATGGCTTTATTATTATTATTATTATTATTATTTTATTATTTTGTACCGGGATTGAACTCAAGACCTTGCGCTTGCGAGGCAGGCATATTAATATTATTATTATTGGCTTTTTTGAGACAGGGTCTCATTGTGCAGTTCAGGCTGGCCTCAAACTCACTTTGTACCCCATGCTGGCCTGCAACTCATCATGTTCCTCCTGCCTCAGCTTCCCGAGTTCTGGGATTACAGGCATGTGCCATCACGCACACGGCTGGGCTCGTGGTTTTCGAGCTGAGTCTGTGATTGGTTGGCCCTGTTGCCTTGACAGGAACATGTGGCAGGGCACAGCCGGTCATCCTGTCTGTGTTTGGGGGACACCTGAGATCCGAACCAGAGCACCCACTTTGCTGTACCCTCCCAGAGATGCCTTGAAAGCGGAACTGTTGGACTCATGTTGACCAGTGCTTGACCAGCGTCCATTGCGAGCATGAATAAAGTCCATTTACGCTTTCCCCATGACTAACTCCTGATCCTCCCAAGCCCTGGACTCCTAAAGAGCAACAGGGCCTCTGCTGTGCTGGAAGAGTCAGGGTTTGGCCTGACTGCTGATTTCTTTCTGCTAAATTTTACACCCCCTTTGCCACCTTCCCCCAGGACCCCGTGGGCCATGAGAATGGTAGATGCTGAGACACAAGACTCCAAGAGCCAGCACAAGGATGGAGGCTTGTGACACAGCGCGGTGGACAGGAGTGGAGGGGCCAGTCCTGCTTTGGCTCCTTTGAGCCGTGCGGCCTCAGCTGTATTCCTAACCTCATTGCTGCCATGGTACAGTGGGGTCTCCAGACTCCACCTGGTTGGATTGTGTGAGGACAGAGACCAGCATATGGAGAACCCAGGCTTTGGCCAAAGCCAGATCATTTCCACAGCACGAGATGAACCACATTTGGAAGAAGAACTGCTCCTGAACTTGGGCGAGTACCTGTAATGTAAAAGAGTAATGTATTCTCAGAGATTTTATTAACTTTTATAGTGTGGAGGTGTTGGTGGGTGGTTTAAAAATTCTGCTTTCCTAAGTAGACAGCACCGGATGCTGCAGTTTCCACAAATACAACCCTTCATTTCTCCAGGGTTTGAACAGTCAAAGGCGGCCTCCCTGGAGACAGCATGGCTAATATTTCGGTCGATATGAGAATTCTATTTAAGGAGTGTACCTTTTCCAGGGAAGCAAATGATAAACTTTTTGCCCCATTAAGAGTGAGATATTGGCAATATAAAGATGTAGAGGGGAGAAGATACTATGCAGAAAGAAACTACCTAGACGAGATGTTTGCAGAAATATGTATAAATTTTTTCACCTTTTGAAATCAAAAGCAAACTCTGTTGCTGATAATCTGGAGCAGGATTCTTTTAAAGTCAGCGCTTGATGCAAATAAAATCCCTGGGCCGGCCCTGAAGTGCCACTCACTGCCTCAGTGCAGTTTAATTGAATTTAATTGCATCTCTTGTCTTCCTGTGTGCTGACATGGAGAACTGTCATTTCCCCAGGACTGTGTCCATGCTTTGCATTTATTACCTCACTTAGTCCAGCAACCTTTTGGAGTACTGTTATCATTCTGAGTTTTATTGGTGAGGAAACTAAGGAGAGAAAAGTTCAGTAGCGTCCTGAGGTCACTTCAGTTGCAGTTCAGCCACGATGGGACTCACACCGGATGCTGCACAGAAGCCAGGTCTGACCTCTCCGTTCAGTGGCAGCAACCTTTGGTCCTTTGAATGGGTGAAAGTTACTAAGTGGGACCACTCCAGTTAGAAACACACTGGGGGAGGGCGCCATCGGAACAAGACCAGTGTCACCAGAGCAAGGGCACTGGGCCAATCCAGAGCAAATGGAAGACACCCCAGGCTGGCGTGCATCCCTCCAGTCTGCTCGCTTGTGGAGGGAGGTTGGCGAGCCCTGGTGGAGAGGAAGGGCAGGGAAGGGTGAGGCAGGTGAGCAGAAATATGGGCACAGAACTGCCCAGTTGCAAGGGTAGGGAGCTGGGAGGGAATACTGCACCGAGCCTTTTTCCCATGGCCCCCAGCGCCTGGCCTGCAGGAAGGAGGCTGCCTGGTGTTTGGAGCACCACACCGGCAATCAAACAGCCAGCACGGGTTCAAATCCTGACTCTCCACTTCCTTCCCTGAGGCCTTGGGGAAGCAACTTACCCCAAAGGGGCCTCAATTCCTGCCCTTTTGACGTGGGGCTTGCAGACCCTTTCCCGGCACAGAGCAGGCACACACAGCAAGGGCCACTCAGTGTGCTGGGGCAGCTGACAAGCCCTGAGGGCTGGTGTCACTCAGAGCTTGGTCCCTGGGCCCGCAGGACTGTCCATCCTGGCTCACCTGAGAAGAGGGCCCTGCATGGTCCAGGTGGCCAACCACATTGTGTAAGTACTGCTTACCTTAACAAAGCAAATGTGCATGCAGCATCTGTGCCAGACCCTCTGGAGCCAACTTAGCAAGCTATTTCTGAGCCAGCTCTTCTGTGGAGCAGGATTCCTGATGATGTCACTTCAGGTCCAGGGTGCTGGTCACAGCTACTCAGCACACCCATCCACATCAGGCAGGGTCGAGGTGAGGTAGGACAGAAATGATAAAGACAGGGAGAAAGGGGATAAGGATGAATCAGAATTTTTAAATTGTGCTTTTAAGAAAAACTTCAGCTTTGGAACATGAAAGTTTCTTAAGCTTTTTTTTTTCCTTCCAGAGAACTAAAAACAAAACAAAAAAATTTCTAAGAGTCTTAAAGGCACAGCAAGTTTGTAAATTGGGTGACACCTCCGCCCTCAAGGAAGCCACAGTTATTCATGAGTAGCAGACCTCGACTTCAGCACACATGGAAATGGTTTGCATGCCGACATCGCCGGCCAGGTGGGTGACACCAGATGGTCACCGTGACCAACAGCAGGAGCACACAGCCTGGATCACCCATCTTGAAGACACCCCAGGAACCCATAAATAAACCAGCTTTGGATCATAAGGTCGCTCTCTCTCTGGAGGGCCCATGCTCTGTTTCTTTGAACATATCCTTTACATTTCTGCCAAATAACTCTTTTGCATCCCGAAAATTCTTTTTCTACAATGGGAGTCAGCAAGCCTGCAGTACAGTTCTACTAGTTAGGGTGGGCTCACAAAGCTCTTAGGATCCTATCTGAAGGCAGACGGAAGTGAGGTTCTAAAGAGTCTTAGTGTGGGATGAAAGGTCCTCCTGGGTCGGGCTGAGCCCCATCTGCTCCTGCCAGTCCCCTCCCTCCTGGGCCTGAATTTGGGCCCTTGCCCTCTCACTGGTCAGTTGGTTGTCTTCCCTGGGTGGGTCAAAAGCTCTGGAAGGCAGCTATACAAGGAGGTGGGGCTGCGAAGGCAGTAGGAGGACTGGGCCTGACCGCAGGGACACTGGCTCCCTGATTGCCAGCTGACCTACCTGACTCGCCTGAGACTTTAGGAGCCCCTTCTCCTTTGAGAATAGGGCTCATCTCCCCTAAACAAGACACACCCACTCCCTGCCCACCGGAGCATCGCCTGTCCTGGGGCTCAGTCACTCTGGAAGGCGGGAGAAGACAGGCTTTTCCTCTGTCCTGCCAGCTGCCCTCCCTCTGCCAGTGCCCAGGTCCAATATGGCCCTGCAGTGCCTGAACCCCAGAATGGGGTTGGTCATTCAAAGCACTCCCCTACAGGCTCTGTGAGCCCACCTACTCCAGGGAGGGGTGGAGACCTTCCCTGCAGGCCAACTGGACTGTGGCAGTTGCGTGTGCTGTTGGCCCTCGGGGTGTGCCAGCTCCACCTCTTCCTGGTAGGACTTGGAGTGACCATGGACACAAAGCTTCCTGGAGTCCCGAGTCTCACCTGTTAGTTGGAAATTTCCATACACCTGTCCTGGATCCCCGGAGGGACAGGTGGGGTGTTCAGCTGGGATGATGGGGGACATGCTCATGAGGGGGTGGTCTTTGTGAGTCATGCGACACTCAGGAGGAAGGGGCAGGAAGGTGCTTGAACTGAGGGTGCCTTGAGCGGCAGATGAGGGGACCTAGGGCTGGGCGAGCAAAGAGGGGTGGTGGGAAGGTGACAGAGGGAGCAGGAGGAGCCCAGTGGCAGAAGCTAAAGTGAGGACAGTGGGTTTGCCCAGATGTTCTGCCCAGATGTTTGTGCTGTGTCAGAGAAGTCCCTTGGCGTTCCACAGGCCTTCTTCCCTCGCTCCCTCTCTGTGCTCCTTTTTTCCTTCTTCCCACTTCCCTCACCAGGGCTCCTCAGAGCAGCTGCCTTGTGCCAGCCACTGTGCAGCGCCCCAGGGCAGTGGCAGAGAAAGAGGACAGACACATGGACATTCATTATGCAGATGAGCCCAGGTGTGCTGAGTGCCATGGAGGGAGGTCAGGAGCTCGGGACCATCAAACCAGAAGCTGTTCTGGGGGAGAGTGGAGACAGGGCGGGGTGCTGGGGGATGGCGGTCACCTGCAGTCACCGCTCGTTCCTTCACTCTGCGTCCACCGTGGGACTGGCTTTGGCCAAGGGACAGCAGCGAAGGTCACGCGCACATGGGCTTGGCGAGCACTTGTGCACGTGGACTTCTGTCTGCTTTTGTGGCACGTGGGGCTCTGAGGCCAAGATGTGAAGAGTCCAGCAGAGGCTGGTGGAGAGGCCACCTGGAAGTGTTCCCAGCAGCCGCGCACCAGCTGCCACACATGGGAGGTGCAGGAGACAGTCCCGCCCGGCACCAGGGCTGCATGAGCTGGTGTCTTCCTCCCCACAGCATCAGCGCATCTTGGTAAAGATTGGCAGAGACCTGATTTCCCATCAAATGCCCCTGTTCTCTAGGGTTTCACGGCTTGCGATTTGCATGCACCAAGTGTGCTCACCTGCTAAAAATGTACATAGTCACGAAATAGCCCAAGGAAGCACACAACAGGAGGGGGATTTGAGGTTCGGTGAGAGGTGGTCATCTTTCTCAGTTTTTTTATTTTAGAGCGTCAGTTCCACAACAGTCTAAAGCCTCTTTCCCAGGCCTGTGAGTGAGGAGGTTGCCACTCAGTGGTGAAAGCAGCTGCTCCCTTCCGCACACCCCTGCCTGACTTGGGGGGGAAGAGGAATGCATATGCTCCGAGGAAGGGTGACCTTTTCCACTGAGGCCATGCGGCTGAACTTTGACAATACCTCTCTATTAAAATTGATGTTCCTCTTAACTGGCAGTGATGGGGACTGTTTCTTAAATGCTGCCAAACACAGTGACAGGTCCCAGGTGACAAGGCAGGGGTCTTGCTAATTCTGCTCCACAATGTCCCTGGCTACAAAGGGTTTCTGGCAGTTCCTACCTGTGAGCAGGGCTGGTTTTCTGAGGTCACCTGTCAGGCATCTGGGAACCAAGAGTTCTCTGCACATTGCCTGTGATTTCCCTTGGATTTCACACATCCTCCTGCCCTCAGAACTATTATTTTTTAAGAAAAGCAAAAATTAAATCCTTATTCCTCTCTAGGAGAGTGAGGGGGAAGCCGTGTCCCAGCATCTGGTCCCTTGTTCACTGTCAAACGACTTCAAGTGAATGCAGGTGATGCTCTTTCAGGGGAAAAGCAGAACCATGTGTGTAGCCCGGGGGCAGAGAGCAGGCGGAGGAATTCCACAGGGGGCCACGTGAGGGACACAGTGCCTCTCTGGGAATATGCCTCAGCCCCTGAAATGTGACTGCCACCGTGTCTTCAGGACCCATACCTGAGGTATCTGAGGTGGATGCCACAGCGTCCACGGCCATGGGACAGTCGAGCTCCTCTGAGGTGGCTTCCTGTGTGGGCAACAGGCTGCTTGTGAAGATCAGATGGGAAGCGGTGTCTGAATGTCCCTCTCCCTCCCTAGGAAGGAAGCACCTTCCGGCTCAGACAGGCAGCCACAAACATCGGTTCCTACCCTGCTCCAACTGCAGGGCTGTTGGCCTGGGGCATCATTCACAGGTGCACAGCTGCTCTGCACAGCTGCTCTGTGGTCCCACACGGACTGCAGAGATGGGTACCACTGTGTCCACCTTCAGAGGGGGAGCCTGAGCCTCCAGAGGGGAAGTGTAGGTTTCTCCCACCCAACCTCCATTCACACTCCTGATGAGAGTACCCCAAGTTCTTTGGGGGAACTGCCTCTTCCGGTGATGGGCCACCCTGGGAAACTGTCAGTCAAAGTGCCACCTCCTCCAGCCAAGGAGCGAACTGGAATGCAGCTCCGCCCATCGAAGGCACTCTCTGAATCTGAGTTTCCACCTCTAGCAGAGGAATGGAAGCAGTAAATGCCAGAGGCTGATTTGCCCAAGGAAGATAACAGTGGAGCAGGGAACTCTCCTATGGGTGTCTGCTCCCAGACCACTCCACTGCGCAGCAGGCTTACCCTGCCTCCAGACAGCTGCTTCTCTTCCTTTCACTCCCTAGACCCTGCCGAGCCTGCCCTTTCCCGCATGACTCAGTCCCACTGGGTTCTGTCACTTGCATTCCCTCAACTCTGGCTGACACAGGAAGTGCCTGTCCAGGGACACCGAGCTAAGGACCCGTCCCCAGGATCTCAGGTCAGTGCACTTTCCACTGTGCCACATGGTATCTCAGGCAGAGCCTTTTAGTCAGTGTGACAGCATCAGCAAGGGCCTGGTGATGGGAACACATGCCCCGTGTGAAGCACGTGGACACCCCCTACCAGATCAACCTCAGAGGACATTCAGCAGGGACACCACACAGAAGCCAGAAAGCCACACACAGCCACACACCCTCTCTGGGTGTAATTAATGCAATATCTGGATTGTTTCTGTCAGCAACCTACTTTGCCATGCAAGCCCTCTATTCATCATATATTTTTGAAACCAAAGCAGAGGCCTCTGGAACAAGTGTGCTCATTTACTGCACAGTGGTGCTATATTGATGAAGCCAGGACAATTTGTGGGGGAACAAATCCCCCAAACTTCCCGAAATGACCTAGACAGCATGGGAACCAAAGAGCAGGGCCAGGCTTGGGGGCTCTGAGTTGCTCTGGGGGTCACTCCCTAGTTGCCCATCTTCCTGGGCAGCCTCTCTTTGAAGTCACTGCTGGGACGAGGCGGGGAGCAGGCTCCAGACCCCTGCGGGTGCCTTAGCTCCTGGGAGTCCTGCCTCCACCTCGGGTTCAAAAGCTCCTTTTCTCTGCTCTTGTGCCCACAGTGAGAGCCTTTGGGCACACTGCGGGGGCAGAGGGCTGCTCCACCTCAGCCAAGGTGCAGCTGCAGCCAGTGTGACACGGAGCCCTGAGCCTGCGGTTGTGTTCCCTGCTGGTCTCTGGAGCTTGTCTTTTTTTTTTTTTTATTATTAAATTCTTTTATTGGTACATTGTAGGTATACAACACAATTATTTTTCAGTTATTATTTTCAAGGTACTTTGCCAGTTACTATGGAGAGTATTAGATATTAAAGTGGACCTTTCCCTACAGAAGTTTGTAATAAACTAAAGGAGATATCACCTTTAATTTTTTTTAATTAAATTCTTTTGTTGGTACATTTTAGGTATACAACACAATTGCATTTCTCATTGGGAATCGTACCTTTACATAATGCATCTTGCTTCTTATTTTTTCCCCATTCCTAGCCCTCCATTCACCCCCTCCACCCTTCCCTATTTACAAAGACTTTATTTCCATTTTTTCCATTTCTCAGCATTTTTCCTTTCCCTTCGTTCCTTTCCCCTGCCCCTCCCACTACCCCTACCCCTTTGGACCTTTTCTTCCTATTTTACATTTTCGATTATTCATTCTAATCATTGGTACATTTTAGGTATACAATATAATGACATTCATCATTGGAAATTTGCACCTTTACATAGTCTCTCTTGGTTCTTATTTTTCACCCTTGCCCAGCCCTCCCTTCGACCCCTCCAGTCCTCCCTATTTACAAAGATTTTCTTCCTATTTTTCCATTTTCTCATATTAATCCCATTCCCTTCTATCCTTTCCCCTAGCCCTCCCACTTTCTTCCCCTTTGCCCCTTTTCTTCC